AAAAAAAAAAAAAAAAAAAAAAAAAAAAAAAAAAAAAAAAAAAAAAAAGAACCTGCATGAGGCAGAAAAACGATAGAGTCGCGGAGATAGAGAAGGGCACAATGCAATTCAAAAACTGGGAATAAATTGAAGAACAAAAAAGACTAGTAAAGCAGAGACCGCTGTGGGTAAGGTGGCAGGGCCGGAGGATTTATGCAATCAATGGAGAGAGGCACAATTCGGAAATAGAGGGAAGAAGACAGGTGTTCCAGATACCAAGCGACCAAGGCCCAACACAGGCACCATGAGCTGACAGGCTACGTTGCTGCAGGGGACTTCAAGAAATGCTCGGAGCTGACAGGCTAAGTTGCTGCAGGGGACTTCAAGAAATGCTCGGAAAAGATTTGGAGTTTATGTTTCTGGAAAAATAAAAACTATAGTTGAGGGTTTAGGGTTTAGGGTTTAGGGTTTGGACAGAATTAGGGCAAACAGGGTTCAGAATAGCAGAGTTTTCATGTGGCTCACATGGGGGATTTACAGTTTAGACAAAATCGGCAGCTTTGGCAGCTTCTAGGACCTTTCTCGCTACCGTCTTCACCCGAATAGAACGCCCGGTCATTATTGCTGCATCTGGACCGAAAGTTGTGCCCAATACATCTATAAAGACCGGGCGTTCTATTCGGGTGAAGACGGTAGTCATGCTTTATACGACAGGTTTTCGCAGTAGACCTGAGAAGAAAGGATGAAGTAGGGCAAGCTGACAGTCAATCCTCCACAATGTTGGAGCAAGCAATGCTGGTCAGGGGTCCTTTGGCCGGACGGAAGGAAGCGTGGGTGAGTACTTATGATGTATCCTGTTATTCTGACTTGCCGGTGGAATAGGAACCGGACTGATGCTCCCCAGAATGGAAAAGGAGCCAGGACCATAAGGGCCTGTTTAAAAAAAAAAAAAAGAGGGGGATAACTCCGATAACAACATTCAGCATTTGCAAATGTTGAGAAACAGATCATGAATTCAAATACTGATGGATGAAATCATGTTAGTAGTTGACCCCTTTATACAACACTCATTAAAAGAAAGACAGAAAAAGTATGCACTAGAATCACACAACCTTATACATAACAAAGGCAGCTGAAGATGGAAATAAGACGGAGAAAGCGTACAGACTGTCTGCAAGCAGCAGATCCAATATGTGGGGACACCTAAGGATCCAATATGATGGAATTCGAGATCACTCGAAAGTGCAGAAAGGAAGCGGAAGCATCCACAAGAATCACGCATGATTATTTTACATAACAAACGCAGCGGAAGACGGAAATGTCCCTTTCTCTTCAACAATGCCACTTACATTTTGTCCCAGAGATGGACTCCCAAGACAGCAGAAGAGAGAGGTAGTCAGATGGAGAAGACAGTTGATAAGTGAAGTGCTATGATCCTGTCCAATTCCTGATTGGAGAGTTGACTTTGACACAATGTCATACATTGCAACTGAACAAGAAGTGAATTGAAATCAAGGAGAGAGAAGAATGAAAGTAAATAAAAAGAAGAAGAAGAAGAAGAAGAAGAAGAAGAAGAAGAAGAAGAAGAACATACAATCAGACCAATGTCATTTCCTCCCTCCTATGGCCGGCATCGTCAACCCTCGCATAATCTTCACCTCCACTTATTTGACAATTGAGCTACCAGTTTACACAAACCTACGTAGTGCTCTTACCGGTATCCGCGGTAAGGGCACTTGGCTTCGGGTCTGGGCGGGTAGCGAAAGCAGCAGGGCACTTTGGAAAAGCGCAGGCAACAGTCAGCACCCATGCAACAACAGGCATTCAGAAACCACGAGTATCGCCAGCTCATTCAGCTTTCTTGCTCTCGTTTGCCGATCCTCATCTTCCATTCTTGTGGGATAAAGTTTAATCTGACAGACTCTCGGAAGGGTCTGAGAAGGATAACAGGAAAAATGGCAAGCTGGCATTCAATCCTCCATAAAATGGAGTAACTAATGCTGTTCAGGGATACTTTGGCCAAATGGAAGGAAGCGTGAGGGTGTACATGTATATCTTATAACTACCGTTAGCAGGGGGCAAAGGAACCGAACTAATGCTCCCCAGAATGGATATGGATGGAGCCAGGACCATAAGGACCTGTCAGACAAAAAAAAATAGAATGAATAAACAAGAACCGATATCCGAAGGATCTCCCCTGCAGCCAGTGAAGAAAGGACTTCAGTTAAGCTCCCTCGCTCTCTCCTCTCCTCTCCTCTCCTCCTCATGGTAGTGTAACTGGCTATGGTGGATCATCCAGCACAGAGGTTCAAAGGACAATGCAACCACTATTATGCCTCTCTAATCTCCTCCCGGCGCTACCGCCATACTACTACTATGCCTCTCTAATCTCCCAACATCAGACCGCCACTCCCGCGTGAAGTCTGTGTCAAACCGGCACCCCAGCAGGAGTCTTCTTGACGAAGGGCCAACCCGGAAGATGATGAAGATGGAACCCCACACATAGCCAAAAGTAAGTCTCCTTATTGGTTCTCACCGGAACCCCACACATAGCCAAAAGTAAGTCTCCTTATTGGTTCTCACCTCCTTCCTCCTTATTGGTCCTCACCCCCTTTCATTCTGGGCTCACAAGTTGATGCACAATCTTTGCTGAACCATAATCTTAACTCCATTCTCAGCAACAACAGGGCGGCCTAGAACCCCTCCAACACACGAATGCCTAAGTAGAACAGAGTCGCTCGCAGGGATGGCACCAGCATGTACAGGTGCTGGGAGAAAGACAAACAAGACCGGCCGAACGGAGGAGACTTGTGCGCTTTATGGTTTGGTCATAAACTGGCACAGCAGCATGAGCATGCACAACATGTGCGATGGACGGATGGACAAACAACAGACGGATAGATGGCAAATGGAAAGACGGATAAATGACAGATGGAAAGACAAACGGATGGTCCTTTGCAACATCTGTTAAAATTGGAATGATAGAGAGAATATTAGCAATTTAGCATGCCCCCCTGCACAAGGATCACACACATAACTCGAGAAATGGTCCAAACTTCGACAAAAAGAAGAAAAGAAAGAAAGACCGATGGATGGGGACAACAGATGAACGGATAGCAGACAAGCAGATGGACGGAGGGAGGGACAGACGAACGGACGGGCAAATGGGCAGACAGACAGCGCCAGAGACAAGGACAGAGAGAGAGAGAGAGAGACAGACAGACACAGAGAGACAGAGACAGGCAGAGAGAGACAGGGAGAGAGAGATACACAGAGAGAGAGAGAGAGAGAGAGAGAGAGAGAGAGAGAGAGAGAGAGAGAGAGAGAGAGAGAGAGAGAGAGAGAGAGAACAATTATGCGAATGGGCAGACAGACAGCGCCAGAGACAAGGACACACAGAGAGAGAGAGACAAACAGACAGACAGACAGACAGAGAGAGACAGAGAAGACAGAGAGAGACAGAGAGAGACAGAGAGAGACAGAGAGAGAGAGAGAGAGAGAGACACAGAGAGACAGAGAGAGAGAGACAGACAGACCCAGCGAGACAGAGAGAGAGAGAGAGAGAGAGAGAGAGAGAGAGAGAGAGAGAGAGAGAGAGAGAGAGAGAGAGAGAGAGAGAGCAATGATAATGAACGGATGAACGCTGACTAATGGACGAGGACACCAGATGAATGCATAGCAGACAAACATATGGATGGAGGGAGGGACAGACGAATGGACGGGCGAATGGGCAGACAGACAGCGCCAGAGACAAGGACAGAGAGAGAGAGAAACAGAGAGAGAGACACAGAGAGAGAGACACAGAGAGAGAGACRCAGAGAGAGAGAGAGAGAGAGAGAGAGAGAGAGAGAGAGAGAGAGAGAGAGAGAGAGAGAGAGAGAAAGAACAATGCGAGAGATTTCAGAATCAATGATAACAAAAGGATGAACGCTGACTGGCTGCCCTACATAGTACAAGCTCAGGCTACTAAGTTGTATGCTTCAGTGCCACAATCCTTACCATAAGACCACGAACAATAGCGCAAAAACAGTTGATTGAAGCTAGGCTACCAGAGCTACGCGGCTGAGTATACCCAGACAGGCGCAGGCAGGTCACGGCAGGGGAAGGAATGCCAGACCCAACCTGCTCAGGGAGTTGGATATGTGAGAAAAAGGGCGAGAATTGAAGAAAAAACGATCTGGCTCTGCACCAGACTTCTGGTGGGCCTGAGCAGTCGGAGTCCTGTCTTTTCTTTGTCTTTTCACTCCTGTCGTTTCTTTTCTTTGTCTTTTTCGGTCCGAATCCAGTCTAACGTTTGAAGTTAGTGATGTTTCAGCTAGGAGAGGCGTGCGAAGGGTTTAAACAGGGTTTAAGAACTGACCATCAGCCAAAAGCTGTTCGGCCTGCAATCCTACACCACATCTTTTTTCTTTCTCCAGATGTTTTAAATATTTTTTTCAATTATTTGCTGTTGTCATGGGAATGCCCCGGACCTTGCCCGGAGCTGACCCAGCCATATGCCACCCAGTTGAGCACATGGGCACGACAAAGCCCGGCAGCTCGGCCTGGTCGCCTGAAAAAAGAATCAGTGCGACGTCACACAAATTTGCACCATCCCGCTTAAGCCCTGTCAGCCTTCCAGCAGCTCCCCCTTAAGCCAACCACGCACGCCCACACCATCCAAAGCCGGTACTGGAAAAGTCTGTGGTTCTCGTGTGGGCTTCAAGATGCGAGACACCCTTCTTCCTTTAACTCGTCACTGAATTATCATTATTATGATTATTATTATTATTACTACTATTATTTTATTTTTTTTATTATGATTATGATTATGATTATGATTATTATTATGTCATCGTCATCATCGTCTTTATCATCATCACCATCATCATCACCAGCATTATTAATTTATTAATTTATTATTATTATTATTATTATTATTATTATTATTTGCAGAAATACTATAGTTCCGTACCTCTTTTTTTCCATACTCTCCCGTGTGGGGTGGCCTTTAGTCTCCCCTTACCTCATCATCACTCAAATACTGAATCCGAGCATCCTCTTCAACCATTAATCAAACGTCCAGTGGTGACCATTAATCCTTTCGTTATCATTGATTCTGAAATCCAACCAACAGTCCCCACTCCTGATCTGAGCCATGGGTCCAGCATAAGGAGACGAACTGCTTCATGCAAACACCATTCGCTCATCCGTCCATACATCCACCCTCCCATCCTTCCATCCATCTGCCCAACCACCTCTCCTCTCCTCCCATGGCATAGATTTCATCCGTCGATCTGATCTAGAGTCGGTCCACCAATTGATGGGTGCTAAACAGTCACCTGCAATTGCAAATGCAAGAACTTCACAAATTTCGCTTCTGGAAAAAAAAAGAAAAAAAAAAAAAAGGCAAATTTCATAAAGCCAAGCGATATCAGAGTGACAGATCCAGAGGTAGAAGGTCTGTCAATTGCGCAGCGAATTTCTCTCCTTCACCCTTAATCCTTTTTTTTTTTCTTTTTTTTTTTTTTGGGGCAAAACTGAGCTATATTCTTATCTCAATTTCACCTTCCTGCTACCTACCTACCTACCTACCACTACTCCTAAGCCTATACAGCAGACCCCTGCAAGCATAACTACCTCTCCCAATCAAAAGCGGGAATGTCAATTGTGCCTTTGGACTGGGCTGGTTCTGTCTTTTCAATCATAAACAAATTAATAAAATTATCGCTTTTCTTAGGAAAAAAAAAAGAGGGGGCTATGAACTGAAGAGATATCATCATTGAACTGACTGGCGCCACGTAATTCAGTACTATTGTATTATGTTCACCCGATTGCATCTGGACTCGAACTTGGGTCTGATTCATATTTCAACAGTTCATGGGTGTACCAACTGCGCTAAGCCCATTGGTGAAACAGTTTTTTTTTCCCCTTTTCTGAAACGGGTTATACTTCTATTCCGGCGACAGACCGAGAAATTCAGCAGGTCGTAATTCCTCCAGGGGAACTACGAAAAAGATAAAAGAAAAACAGGTAGAAGATTAAAAAAATACTTTTGAGCACCTCCACGAGCCGGGGCTCAGGGAGGGCAAAGCCCGATTGTGGGGCACGAGAGGGGAAAAGGAACGAAAGAAGGGGAAAGTGAAATGGAGACATGAAGAAAGGAGGGTGCAAGGAGGTAAACACCACACCCGAGGAGAAGAGTAGAAGAGGAGAAGAGGAGAAGAGGAGAAGAGGAGAAGAGGAGAGGAGGAGAGGAGGAGGAGGAGGAGAGGAGAGGAGAGGAGGAGGAGGAGAGGACCAGGGATAGAGGATAAGTTGCAGCAGCACCGTCATCTCGTAGTCTGATCCGCATCCCCATCATATGCATATAAATATATATTATGTATATTGTCACATGATATCAGAGCGCCGAAGCGAAAAACGAAAGAAAACAAGGAAACAAGAAAAACTGAATTCATTTTAATCTTCTGCCTTATTGTCACATGAATATCAGAGCGCAAAAGCGAAAAAATGAAAAAATGAATTCGTTATTATATATATCGTCACAAATAGAACTGCCCGGTAAACCGTAGGCAGAGAGAGAGAAGAGGACAACAAACGAGGGGCTGTGACAAACTGTTTCGT